GATAAGTTGAAGTAGAGGAGAGTTGTTGGTGGTTTTGGAGTAGGTGAGCCAGGCATTAAGCAGCTTGTAGCCACCAACTCTGATAAACCTGAAAGAGCCAACAACAAATTATAGAGAAGGCATGCGAGGATAGACAGGATTTGAATAACCAGCAGGTTATTTTACTGGGACAAATAATTAAAAACAACAGTTGGGTAAATTACACAAACACACAATTGTTCTATAAACCTCACACCCCAATTTTAAACCTACACTCCAGAAAGTACTAAAACAACTTCACACAGCTCTGTTCATGCTACAAACAGGGATGTGTATGCTGACATATGCAAACATTGACACGCGTGGTGGCGCCTCAGGGCACGGTGCTTGGATGTGTTTGGATGAAAAATATAAGAAGTGTGACTTGAACTGGAGGTTAACAGCTATCATGCTTTGAGAGTAACAGAATAAACTGGGACCACAGAATGTGATTTACAGCATACCTGTTAAGAACATCGTGGGACTTCGTCTGCAGCAGGATGTTCAGGTACATACATCTACTGACCATCTTAGTTGAAGCTTTCATCAGGCTGCATTGGAAAAAGGTGTTTAGAAGTCATTGAGTTAAAGTCCTGAACTAAAGCTGTTGTTCACAGTGAATGCATGTTCACATTTCAATTCAGTTCTTTACCTAAACACTTTTGGGACTCCTTCCAGACTGCGCAGCTCTCCATCTTTGCCCAGCAGAGCCTCCACACCTTTCAAAATCTCTCTTGGGTCTACTGGTCCCCCTGCCATACCCTAAAACACAATACTACATTAAATACACTCATCTACATCACACAGCTGTATTACATTTGAGTTATATGGAGATGTTTGGTCTGTCGTAATAAGTATCACATCAAGTGTGGACTGTTTGTCTGCCAGATAGAAAAGCAGGGCGCCGTCCAACAGAACTCCAACCAGACTGTCTTTTTGATAACAACCACCCACCACCCACCACACACACACGCTTCTCAGGGACACACATTGACAACTGTATTAATCAGATCCCTTAAAATGTGTCAGAACAACAAAGTTACAGCAGAGTCAACCAACAACCACCAACACATTCAGATTCCACTTTGAAACCGGTCCTACAGCAGCTCAGAGGACGACAGCACCAACCTGTTCAAGGACATTCCACCAAGAACACGCGTGCCACCAAACGCCAACAAGGCCCTATTATATCCACTGCACCATCCCAAAGGAGGCCTCTATGCCCAACTATCTAAGAAATAATTTAAATGTGTGTGTATATGTGTGTGTGTAGAAACACAAATCACCAAGTACAGACAGTCAGTAGCATGTTCTTGCAGCCATATAGCCATAAAGGTTATATGTGCTGTGCTGTCTTGTACTTGAGGTGTTTGGAGTACCAACTGCAGTAAAGCAGTGACCAGGCCGGGTCACTGCTACTTGCTCTTCAGTACCACAGGGGCTCTGCTCTCTGGGCCTTTCACTTGAAGGACAGCACATTGCCACAACACTTTCATTATGTGTGCGAGGAAACCCTGTTTATTCCATTTCAAGCTACAATTAAAGAAGCAGGAGCAACGCAGACAACTACGCACATTTACAAAGTTCATGTACAAAGCTTCACACCTGCCATTAATCGTTTTTATTCATTTCAATATTTCACTATTAAAATGAAAAAGAATCTATTTACCTTGGATTTCATATGCTTATTTCATCATACATTTCCACTTATGTATCACAGCTATATAAAATAGTTCAAAATATCCAAAGAGAATACTTTTAAGTAATGCTGAATATGACTTATCAGTGTTTGTTTTTAATAACATACATCTATCACAGTCATATTCATTTGTGCAAAAAATATAACTTTGTAAGAAAAAGGGGAAACAAACAAATACTTTATACAAACAAAATCTACTGTCATTAATTAATCATGACATCTAATGACAAGGTGAACGGTACAATTATATTCAACGAAAAAATAAAATATGATTAAAAAGAGCTGTATGAAGAATGAAATGCTTGGAAACTGTGACATTAGTTTGTTAATCTTCACCTGTGGTCATGTGATCAGAGTGTCAGTTTCTCTGTACTGGATTATTCTGTTTTAATGAGATAACTGACAGTTATCCCAGCCAGAAGGCACAAGTCTAGCCACTTACTGCCACCTATAGGTTAGTTAGTTTTTGCACATTGGCACTCTCTGTAGTAACAACATTTTAAATAGAAACACCTGTTAAACACCACATGAAGCTGTCACAAATTAAAGTGACTGTAAAGTTTAAAGGTGTTGGGTGTTTACTTACTTTTCATCTTTGAAAAGTGCAATACGAGCCAAA